CTTCTATCGGCTCGCTTTTTTCTACTGGAGTCTCGATGATAACCGGTGCTGCAGTACTGATAGGATCTGATGAATCTTCCACTGTGGGTGTTGAGGCGATCTTTTTCTCCGGGCGAGGGGGTTCGCTATCTGATTCTGGTTCCGTGCATTTCCGTGTCGCCGTGTTGACACTGCACTTCTTTCTTTTCTTCTTCTTTTTGCTAGGTTTTGAAGTGGTGAAGTCAGTCTCTGGGATGGTATTAGAGATTGGCTTTTCGATGTTGTCAGTAGCTTCCACTGGGGTTTACTCATCTGGGATTGTTGGAGAATCATCTGAAGTTGTTGTCTGAGAATCTGCTGGTTCTATACAGACTTCGGTTTTTGGGGATATCTCAGGCTCTGAAGCTTCCGTTTCAGGGTCAGGACTGGTGGGAGTTGAGGTTTTCTGGGCGTCTCGAGATGCTTTTAAGATACGCATTTCCTCGTAACAAAATTTCAGTCTGTAGCAGTTTTCCTTTATCGCCTTGTCGCGTGCACTTTTAATCGAAGCATTTCATTAACGAGTATTAAAGAATTAAAATGTAATAAAAAAATTTTAAAATAAGGCTGGTAAAAATTAAAATTTAATATTTTATTAGTGTAATTCAATGTCTTACACAGGCATGGCTCAGATAACTTCTAGTAAACGTTGTTTCTGATTCAGAATATAGTAGTCACTTATAGTCCGTGAGTAGAACTCATTTATCGTTCCGATACTTTGGTAGCAAATTTTTCTTTTGACAAAACGATTCAGAATGTTTTAGTATTTTTAATTTTATAAAGTTCTTCAAAAATTATTTGATCGTAATTTAGTAACAATAGATTTTATGACACACTCTTTTTCTGTACCCTTTTTTCTTTCCATCTGTCATGGCAAGCGAACCCTTCATAAATATTTTACGGAAGCGGTTTCATTCTACCTGGCTTACAATTGCTACAATCAATTTCAAACTTCTTAAATTCTATGATTTAACTCACCTCTCTTTATGCGGAAAAGATGGCTATTAGGTGATGGCAAAATAGTTCTCGTTCTCTCTTCAAAGCTAATTTAATATAAGAGAAATATCTTACCTTTTGCAACATAATATTTGAGATGAATAAAATACAATATGAAAAATTTAACCTTGCTTACTCTATAGATTTTAGTAAAATAAAAGTATAATCATTCTACAAATTGCGGTATTTCGCAATAAAGTAGGCGTTACTTTCCTTCAAGATCCTATTCCTACTCTAATTGATATTATCCTAAGAAAATATTATTTTATACCAAAAGTAATAGTAGAGTCATTAGAACGACTATTTCCCTGACATACTAATCTTAATAGAAAATTCCCATTTTCGAAATTGTTTCTCTCTGTTTCGTCCGGCCCTTCCGAGAAAAAGCAATTTTTCCCAGAGGGCGTTGCAAAATCGTGAACAATAAGTATTAACAAACAAATTGTTAAAAGAATTAAATATTAATAAAAAAAATTTAAAAAATAAATTTGGTAGAAAAAATTTATTTATATATATTTTTAGTGCACTTTAATGTTTAGCACAGGTATGGCCCAGATAACTTCTAGCAAACGTTGTTTCTGCTTCAGAATATAGTAGGCACTTAATGTGGCTGTTGACGAGAAGTGAGAGGCTGGTGTGAAAGGTGGCTTCACACCGAAAGCAACAGCGATGCGAAACACGATTTCGCTTTTTTGTCACAGTGTGTCTGTTGCAAGTGATTGCAAATACCTTCACACCACCTGCGACAACAAACCTGTTTCCTGGCTAGTGTGTGCACACTTTTCTTCTGTGTCTAGTTTTTGTTTCGTAGTTTATTTTGTCGTTATTTTTTATATTTATATTAATTTTTATATTTAATTTATTTTATGATTTCAGTAGAAGATTCTTCATAAATTGCCGAAATAAACTTTGCGTCACATTTTTACAAATATTGTATCAATAATTTATTCATAATTATTTATTTATTCTTTTTAATTTTTGTCTTATAATCTTGTCCACTAATTTTCAATACTTAGCTAATCCTTTTTAAGGAAACAAAATGGATTTTTTCAGTATAATTTTTTTTTTCGGTTATAACATTTATTTTCATTTTTTAAATAAATTAAATTAATGTAACATTACGATTAAAATAAAATAAATCAAATATAATAAATCAAATAATAATATAAAATTAAATAATTCAAATAAAAAAGTTATGAAAGAGGAAAAACAGAAACTATTTTATTATAAATATTTCTTGTTTATATTATTATCTTTATAACTAAGTCTTGTTAGAAAAAATATTTTTCAGAAAATTGTTGCGAAAAATTAAAAAAAAAAAAAAGGGATTATATCTTACATTACGTTTCAAATATGTTAAATATCTTTTTCTTGCTGAATGGTACAGTTACATAATGCCGGGCATAATCATTCTGACATAACCACTGGTAGCTATATTTTATAACACTCCAAATAAAAATTCCTGGAAGATAGGTTACGGTACCTCAACTATCAACGACAAACACATAAAGCCTATAGCATAACAGAGAAATATAAAAAAAAAATTATCAATTTTATAAGTAATTTCTGTTCTTGAATCTGGTCCATTCACTTAATTGGCGAGAAATTCCAAATATGTTCCTAATCTTCCTTGATTTTTTAAACTCCCAAAAGTTTCTTAGCAATAAAATCAAATTATTACTTTTGTTTCTATGAAAATATTTAACTAGGAAAAAATGGAATTCTTTTTTCATCATTTCAAGACGTAACCAATTTTATCCGATCATGATGAACAATACCGAGTTTTTTCATTACTTCCACAGAATAACCAATTTTCACTAAAAAAAATTTTTTTTTTTTTTGTTCTTTAAAAATGTTTTATTTTTTAAGATAAAGATCGATCTGATTTCATGCAAATACAAATTATTAAGCAATTCTGTTAATAAAGTTGATTTTGAAAGGAAAATTTAAAGACCTGTCTTTGTGTACCATTTCCGTATTTATAAAATTTCATAATATCAAAATTTCGCACGAAATTTTCCAAAACTTTTCATTCAAAATTTTAGTTTTTGTAATAATAACCCATTTATGGCCCCTTCATTAACCAAGAGTAGAATTGAATTTAAAATAATTTTTGTTAAAATTAATTACAATTTCCACAAATTAAAAAAGTTTGCCTTTTCCCTCTTCAGCGTTAGCTTTGCATTTCTTTGTGAAATAAAATTTTTCGAAAATCTTTTCTAATAAAACAAACGTCCTTTTTTTTAATAATGAGTACTTTTTTTATTTTTATTTCCAATGTCAGGCCAATTTAAAAGAACAAAAATGATAAAATAACAAGAAAAACAAGGCAAAAAGAGAGAAATGGAATTGAATGCATAGTGACATGCTTAGCCCATACGGGCCCTAGCCTCCCAGTAGCGTCCGCACACCGTAGTGGAGATAAGCGCGGGACAGACGGAAATATGGAGCAAGTCCATGTCCTCCCCAAGGCGACAGAGCTTGCATTTAGGACAGTCAAAAATGTTTATACTAAAAAGGTGTTTGGCCAGACAGTCATGGCCTGTTACAAGTTTAAAGAGAGCGACTGCCTTAAACCTGGGGTAATTTGGGATAGTTAAAATATGGTTGAACCAGGTTTTGTGTATATTACTTTTACGGAAATTCTCTGAGAGCATGTTCCGGAATTGGTTTCGGACCAGCAATTTAAATGAGTGCAGAGAGATGGAGCAACGAGATGCTTGGTCAATAGTTGTTCCTTTCTTGGCCAAGAAATCAGCTTTTTCATTACCCCAAATCCCGCAATGTCCCGGGATCCATTGGAGGACGATTTGCTTACCTTTTAGTGTCAGGTCTTTCAGACAATCAATGGATTTCTGAATGGAGATGGATTGGTGAATCAGTGGAGAGTTAATATCAAGAAGTGCTGCTTTAGAGTCAGATAAGATGAAGGCGTTGGAAAATTGGTCAGTACGACACTGTAGTTGTTTTAGGGCAATTAGAATAGCCTCGATTTCACCGTCGTAGGCAGATGCATAGCAGCCAACAGAAGCGTAGGCAGATAACAGGTGACAAAATACTCCCGCTCCAGCACTCACCCGCTGATCCACTCGGGAGCCATCTGTAAAGATTCTCAACCATTCAGGTTCAGGATATAGCTCATTCATAGTTGCGTAAGAGATACTTTTAAGGACATCACTATCAAAATCTGATTTTAGGACTCTGAGAGCAAGGTCTGTGACCACATTGAAAGTCTGATAGTCCAGTGGGCTACAAGGAGTGGGAAGAATTTCAGGCTCAATAAAAAGGTTGTATTTGTCTTTTAAGCTCAGCACCCCCTGTAGGAAACCCGCTTGAGTCTTTAAGTGGCGCTGCCTGGGGCTCTCTAGGTTCCAAAGAGAAAGATAACCAGGAGTCCGTAATATTTTTTCCCAGAGTATCAAGGCCTTTTCTTCAATTATTTTTTCCATCGGCCAAACTCCAGTGCAAAGGAGCATAACGTCTATTGGGATGGATTTAACAGCTCCAGTGATCAAGCGAAGTGCTTGATTATGAAAAACCTCAAGAGATCTGCGGACCTGACTTGAAGCACTAATTAAGGGTTCACAGCAGTATGTAATCACCGGAAGAACAAATGTTTTATAGGTTGTGTTGAGAGTTGATTAGAGCAACCCCATCTACAGCCTGACAGACGCTTTAAGAAGGAATATCTACTTAAAGTTTTGTCAATTATGTTTTCCGAATGAAGCCTCCAGGAGAGCTTACGATCAAATATCACACCTAGGTAAGTAAAACTGTCTGTTGTTTGGATGTTTACACCTCCATAGACCAATGAGAGATCTAATTTATTATGGGAAAGAGAGAAACCTTCCTAACAAGTTTTTTCAACGTTAACTTTCATATTGTTTTTCAGACACCATTCCTTGAGGTGAATAAGGGCTTTGTTTAGTACTTTTTCAGTCAGGAAGGAAGACCTTCTCTTTGGGGTCTCAGTCCAAATGAGGAGGTCATCGACGTAGAGTAGACATTTGATACCGGGGATAGATTTTAACTTCTGGACAAGGTCGTTGATATATAAAAAGAATACGGCTTAAGACTGCTCTCTGAGGGAGTTCAATCTGAAGAAGGCCATATTTTGAAAGTTTTGTTCCGTATCTGACTCTGCAGAGGCACTGACCTATGAAACTTTTGATCCAGTTTAGCATGTGTCCAGTTATTCCCATATTGTAAAGTTTGAGTAGGAGATTTTCTTTCCAAACTGTGTCATATGCTGATTTCAAATCGACAGCAATTGCTGTAAAAACTTGCCTTGAATCCAAAACGTCTTTTAAAGCTTGGCTAAAAAGAGTTACATGATGCGAAGTTGATCTTGACCTCCGAAAACCAGCCTGTTCTTCGGCAAGAAAGGAATGAGACTCCAGGTACCAATTGAGTCTGTTGTAAATCATTCTTTCCATTGTTTTGCACATAAGGCTTGTCAATGATATTGGTCTATAATTACGTACATCTTCAGCGTTTTTTCCTTTCTAGTGGACCGGAATGACTATAGCTTTACACCATAATGAAGGTACACGGCCAGAATTCTAGACTATGTTAAAGAATGCAAGAAGGTTGGCTTTAGCAGTTTGACCCATGTGCTTTAAAAATTCGGAGTGGATGTTATCAACCCCGGGAGATTTGCAATTTTTCAATCTAAACAGGGCCATATTTAGTTCGTGTTGGGAGAATGGAGCACAAAAAATATTCGTTTCGCTCACCGGGAGATTAGAAGAGCCACTCTGGATACAACCAAGTCTGCGATTAAACACTCTGGACATTTCTCTTGCGAATGCACCTTTACGATTTGCCCCGGTAAAGTGTTTCAAGAAACAGTGGGCAACTTTAGTATCTGAAGATATAACTTTTCCATTAACAAGAAATGGGCGTTTAGCAATTTGAGGGGATTGGTTTTTCAATTGAGATAGAAATTTTTAAGTTTTAAAGTTATCTTTTTGGAAATTAATTTCAGAGATGAAATCATTAAAACTGTTTCTTTTTGCAGTTATAATGGCCTTGTTAAATATGGCTGCTTGCTTTCTCAAATTTATAACATCTGGAACCCTACCAGTGATCTCTGCTTTCCTTCGTAGGCAATCACGTTTATCTTTTAGTTGTTGGAGTTCTTCGCTCCAAAAACTACTGTATCTCTTGACTCTACCCCAAGGGATAGCAATTTTAGCACTATCCAGAATATAATTATTAAGTTCAGCACAAATAGCATCTGGATGGGAGTGAGGGTTTACAGGGTTGCTTTGTAAAAGTTGCTCCAGGGTGTCTGTGAAAAGTTTCCAGTTCGTCTTCACAAAATTCCTGGAAACATATGTGGGATGTGCTGCAGACCTTCTATCTGCAGAAAAGTATATCTCAGCCAAGATTTGTCTGTGTCCAGAGCCAGGATCCCCAAGGACTCTTCGTGTTGTTGACTGACACAGATCTGCCGAAACCATTAGGAGATCGGGATTATAAGTAAATATTGGCTATGATAAGATATCGAGCAACAAGTATCATGCCAAATAAAACTGATTACAGTTAAACTTGATTTTTAAAAATGAACTATTAAAAACTGGATTTGGTTAATCTAATAACGTGAAGGCACTGAGAAGCGCAACTAATAACAATACTTTTTTTTAAAAAATACCTATTATTTTAAGTAAGTTTATTAATTGTTTCGGTATATGTCTTTTAGATCTGTATATTATTTTGTAGTGTTGATAAGTAACGATAAATTATCTACTTCTCTTCATCCTGTTCGAAGAGTTAGTGTTCAGCCAGACATTATTAGGAATCATAATATCAATGATATATGGTACGTAGGCCGCTTATTATATAAGCTAATGTTACATGGCAATTTTAATATTAAAAACGGCGGAAATGATACCATTGTTTTTTTTGTCTCGTTAATTTCTTCAGACTATTCAGGAATATAAGAATTTCATCTAATAAAACTGGAAAGGATACGTTAAAACTTAATAAGTTTAAAACTGACTCGACATTAAAATATCTTATTTACAACATAAAAGTATGTGGCCGTGAAATATATTGATTCTACTGTGTCCTCGTGTGTTAGCAGACAGTATGTCCCCTGACGATGTGCTGTTTTTGCTAACATCCTCAGAATTTCGTCTTTGTTTGTTTTTTGCTTCTATCTTTTTAGCTGAATGATTGTTTTTCCTCTTTTTATTTTGAGTTCTGTATATAATGCAATTTACATGTTTATTTCTTAATCGGTAAAGTAATTTTAATCATGAAATTTAAGTGAAAAATTGCTCTTTTTGAATCCAATCATAAGATGTCGTTTTTATAACATTATGACGAGTTCAATATAAGCACGAAATGTAAAATATTACTGGTTAAATGTATTTTGAAAGGATCTAATTTGAATAATTTAGTGGGAGAGTTTAATGTTGCTAAGCCTTTAAAAAAACTTCAACCAAAAAAATATCCACTTTAACATTTTATCGTGTGCCACAAATGGGCAAATAGAAAATGTCAGTCGCACGCATACAAATCAATCTTATATTTGGCTTTGAATAACAATTTATTTCATATCTAGGAAAGTGCCTCTTAATAGTTGGATTTTAAAAGACGTGCCTGTCTCTAGGACGAGATGAAAAGAAACTCGATTATTCAGGAAAACTTGCGTATCCGTATGGAGAATAAATATTATGATTTTAGCCGAATAATTTCTTTGTCGATTTATAGATACCTGGGATTTATTGAAAAATATTCAGAAAAACCTTGGATATGGTATAAATTTTACATGATGACCTTAAAACGGAAAAAATTGCTTCTTTCTCGAAACAAAAAGATGCAACCGAAAAATTTAAAATTGTTTTTCTAACAAATCTTACGCTTTTCACACCAATGTTTGTGCCTATAACTGTACTTATATTAGAAGATACCAAATCAATTACAGAATATGTTCTTTACGGCTATTATCAAAATTGCCCCCTGATCGTAAACCAAAAATTCTGAAATAATTTATTTTAACTCATTTTTATCAAAAACTTTTCTACAATTTTTTTTAAAAGGAAAAATCGGTGACTTGATTTGAAAGAGTTTTTATTTACTACGAAACGTAACGCAAACGAATTGCAAAGATAATCAGTAAATAATTGCATATTGAAACAATTTTGTTGTTGCATTTATTCAACTTAATTTATATTATCGCTTAGAATGTCGTATATTTCTCCATGGTTGGTAAAATAATTATTTTTCTTTATCTTATCGGAAAACATCCTTTGCGAAGTAAGTCTGTCAAGATATAAAGTGGGCGGATCTGGAACATCTCCGATTGTATATCCCGAACGATCTGGCAAGAATTCTGGGCAGAAATAAACGGAGAAAGTCAACATCAATCTTAAGAAATTGATAATATAAATTATTGACGAATACCTTTTCTGCGATACTCAGTCATCATTCTACAAGCAAAGGGAGTAGGACAACCGAGCGTTAGGCTAATTTATCTGTTTTATTGTGATATCCAGAATCAAAACAGAAAACTATTAAAATATTTTTTATTATAATTACTGGTAGAATTTGTTAATATGCATTTTCTATTTCTTAAACTTTTAACATTAACACTTTGATCTCTGTGAATCAAAGAAATAGAAAACTCGAGTAATATTTTTATTTCAATTACTGGTAAAATTGCTTATCTTATCCCCACTGGTAACTTGTACTGGTACTGGTAACTTGTATCAAACGGTGCGCAAACTAATCTTTTTTTCTAATTTTAATGAAATATAAATGCCTAAGTTTCTTAACATTTTTCAAACTTCACTTGATTAACCCTTTTGAAGGCCGCGGTAAGTATACTTACCACCACGTTTTACCACTTTTAATTTAGGTTTCCATTTTTCAATAACTTCAGCTTTCTTGAAGTGAGTTTGAATAAAATTGGTAACCATTTGTCACTTTTAAAAAACGTATAAAAGTTGTAAAATACATAATTCCTTTCGAAGTTATAATATTTATATTATAGCATTTAAGGAATTTATTTTATAAATAAATAAAAAATAAAAGTCAGTAAGTTCCTAATAGGTCATGTTGAATGTATTTACCACCAAAAAAATTGCATTTTAAAAGACTAAATGAGTTTTTTTTTTAATATCCATTACTGTTCTTAAAACAATTTCAATTCCAAAAATACTTTAATTTACCATTACTAGAAATAAAAGGCCCATTAAGGGGTTAAAACACTAGACACGTGCAAAAGTAAATGTTACAGATGGATGCCAATTTACTTTTAAAAAGACAGTGGGACTTTGCAATTTTCACCCGCACTTTTTACCTCATAAAAGAAGATTAATGTTAAGAGGGAATAATTTTCAGAATAAAATATAGTTGAAAATAATATAAAATAAATTCTTCTTTTGAGATATATATCTCTTTTAGAGATCTTGTCTTTTGATGAATATTAAGTCCTTATAATTGCAACAACAAAGGATTTGTGCTAAGAATTTGAATAAATATAGAAAAGTATCGGAATATGTTTTTTTTTTCTCCTTTACTGATACAAATGATTTCTTCTGGTTACTCTTGTTTCCTTCTTCATAATTATGCTCGGAAATAATTGAACTTGCATATTTCGTTTGTGAGGTTTGTAAATTTAACGGTAATTTCATTCTGTAAAATACAGATGTATATCAAAATGATTTTTAGTTTATTTTTTTGGCTGAAAATTTAAAAACGTTAAACGTTAAAATATCGCATCTCAAATTGAAATATATTATCGCCATCATCCTTACCCACCCTAATATCTACAACAATGGAGACGCTTAGCATTTACTCGAAAGAATTAAAAAAAATTTGGTTTGAAATTGAATATACGATGCTCAACTTAACATATTTGAAAAAGAAACTGCATTCTTTGTACTTAAATGGTTTTAAAATATTAGGACATCAAATAAGAAAGTCTCTATTCATTTTTCCACGGAAGAAAATATTGTGAACAATGAAAAAATTATTGGGAATGGTTGAATATATTTATTAAGCAGCTGATGCTATTTTCGGATTATCATTGAAATAAAATATTGAAAATGTTTTCAATGAACTCTGTTGAATAATTTAAATCGACAACATTTTGATTCCTTAGAGTTAATATATTTACAGTGAAATACTATATTTTGCACTAATCTACTATTCCCAGAAATGTCTACTCGCTCCATTTTGTAACGATTGGGCAGTTATCAAAACATAGCAACATACTTTTGCAACCACTGTTTATTTATTCAAAATAAATGCATGACGAGTCTCACTCGTCTACGGGATGAAAGCTTCACCACGAGTAATCACTTTAAAATCATTTGCATGTAGTGACGCGGAAAATAGGTATAAATTAATAAAAAATAATACATTAAAACAGTAACTTAGCTACCAGCAAATTACTTTTTTTACAGAAAATGGG